TGTCAGTGACAGAACGGCAGGCTGCCGTACGTCAGAGGATCCTCATCCAGAGGGGGGCTGGTTCCTCTTTTTTTATGGGGTGGAGCCTAGACCTGGCCATGGGAAACCCGGCCCGGACGGCCCGGCCCGACCCGATCTAAAAAAGCCCGACCCGGCCTGGCCCGACCTTGCCCATGGGCCGGGCTTGGGTCTGATTTTTAGGCCCGATGGCCAGGCCGGGCCGGGCTCGGGCCTGCCATATTTGCCATTTAACGAAGAGGCCCGACCCGTGGCCCGAGGCCCGTCGGGCTTTTTGACTGATGGGCCGAGCTCGGGCCTGAAATCTAGGCCCGACGGCTGGGCCGGGCCGGGCTCGGGCCCAGGTTTTTTGCAACGGGCTTTGTTTGGCCCGGCCCGAAGCCCGGCCCGGCCCAACATTTGGCCAGGTATAGGTGGAGGGGGTTGGGGGTATTTATTCAGCACCAAAAAGAGGCTTTTCCTTCTTTGCTTCTTTTTCTATATTTTTTTGTTTCCACATGAGTTTTTATTTTGTTTTGGAATAAGGTTTCTACATGAGCTTGCAGACCCCCCCACACAAATAATGCTGAATTGAAATCTCGGTCGACTTAGACTTAGCTGCCATGAGGAGAGAAAACCTTAGTCGATTTAAAATTAGCTGCGAGAGAGATAAAGAAATCTTAATCGACTTAAAATTAGCTGCGCGAGAGAGAAAATGCAAGACATATATAGTATTTGTTTATGAAAAAACTAGGGGCAAGATTGTAATAATACATTCCATTTTGCTTCCACCACAAAAGTAGGGCCTCCCCCTGCTGAACGCACGTCGCCAAAAAGCCCTGATGGGTTGGTTCCATCACAAAGAACCTGACCAGATGAACTCCGCTTGGTTCACTTCTCATAGCATTTGTAGTGGGTGAAGATGAGGATCTGAATCCTTTTTGCGACGATGTACCCAAAAGAGGCGGTTATGATAACCTTTAGTTTGGCTACTCAATTTGATATAGAAGGTATAAGATCTGGAGAGGTGTGCCATTGTTGTCCATATTGTTTGGAGATTGGCATGCCTGCATATATGTGCAACCGTCAAGCCTCGCCTTGACAGCCTCTAGACATGTTCTTATATACTATCGACCAAAGCATTCTCCTTCTTTGTCGCAACGTCAATATTTGTTCATATCACGTCTCCTCTACCCCCAAATTAAATATCATTACATCGACCATGCTCGGGCCTCCACCAACGAATTGATTGGCGATGCCACATGTCCACTTTTATTCATTTTTTTGACAAGTATTTTCGGACGGAGTAAGTGCATTGTAGTAAGGCATGAACTAAGAAACCTGGTTAGAAAAATCTATAAGAGAGGGCCAAGAACGTTTGGTCCATGGGTGTATATACACCCCATATAGAAAAATAGTAATTAAATCAATTAATTAAATAATATTTTTGAAATAAACTTGACATTCCATTGTACTTGTAAAAAAATTCACAAAAAGAAAAAAGAACCATTGACTCCTTTTTAGAAAAATAAAAAATTACGGCCAAAATAGCGCGAATAGTGACCTATAATAGCAATCATTCTTGTTTTCTTACCCTAAAGTCAATCTTGATTTTTCATTGCTGAAAAGATATATACTACTCCCTCTGCCTTGTAATGTAAGAAGTTTTTTAACACTATGTAGTGTCAAAAAGCATTTTACATTATGAGACAGAGGGAGTAATGTAAAAAAAGTCACGTTTATTTTAGAAAAAACTTCTAAACATTTTTTTTATTTTCTCATTTTAGATGTATGTATACCGAGGAACCAAAGGGCATTTCCCATAAGAGGGGTGCTATTTAGCTGCCGTCACAACTGAGATGTGAGGGGGTGTTCAATTTTATTGATTGAAGAAGATGGTACCGTGTCCTTTTTTTTTGTACAAAAAGACCCCCTACATGGGTTAAATTGCATCGAAATACATGCATCCATTCCACATGAATAGGCAATCCATGTCGTGTGAACAAACCGTGCAAGTAATCTTTTGAGTAGTGTATTGATTAGAACGATATAATAGATCAGTACGAACCACCTGAAAATGTGAAGGAAAAGCGGTGCATGCTTTCTAAAAGAGGAGGAGTTGGTTCAAAGACAACTGGACACGGCCCCATCTTTTCTAATGCAGCTAGGATTTTGCCAAAATGGATGGTGTAGTGTAGCTGCTCGCTGCTTCACATTTATTGAGCGCCCATTATCTTGGAAGGGGGACAGCAATGCAATAATGTCATGTTGCATATATGCACATTATGTATACGGTGTGCACTAAGGCTCTGTTCGGATTCTCTCCGCTCCCTCACTGCAGGTCTGCAACTCCCAGGGCGGAGGGAGCGCCAGCACAAAAGCAGGGAGTGGCTTGAAACCAACTCTCGAGCGGAGCGGAGTTTAAGAAATGGAAGAGTTTCCGAACAGGCACTAAATGTTTGGCTTTGTGTTATGTATGACGATGTACTTTTATTTATAGGAAACAACGACGTATGTAGAAACAATAGCAAGCACACGTGACACAAATAAACGCAACAAACAGTGGGCACAGCTGCTCGGAGACGAAACAACGAAGGGCATCGACCTGGCTTCGCGCATGTCGACAATCACAAACGCTTAACCTCGCGAAGCAAACCTCAGAAATCATTGTCGCCTTCGACACTGACCATAGTGTAGGACGTAAGCTGTTGAGATCGCCAAAGAAGTCGTGCGGTTAAGCTAATGCAGCAAGAAAAGGGATGCAGCGTGATGTAGGATATGACACCCACGCCGCAGAACAGAGTCAGAGCTTGCATAACCCTACTCACATAGTCACCGCCATGTTGCATCGTGGGAGAGGGGAACTCCATCCCCTCTTGCCCAAGCTCGTGGGGACATGGATTGCCATGAAGATGCAGCGCCATTGTAGAACACATGCCAACCGCCATCAGTTGCTTGTCATCCACACCATAGCCTTGATTGTCACCACACTGTGCAGCATCAGAAAACCTTGTCGCGCTCACCTTCCTTGGCGACCGTACGGGCTTGTCCCAAGACCACCTCTTTAATGAAGATGTATAATTGTCTCGGTTGCTTCAGACGATCACGATGAGTCGACGACAGCATTGATCATATAACAACACAAAACGATGCACAAAATGTGCAAAAGGATCAGCAACGTGCTAAGATAAAACGGGAAAGAGCACAAATGATCTTCATCTTCTCCATTGTCTACTACGTGACCTCCGGCGAGGTCGCAACTTTGTCCAGCTCGTGCATCGCCGGACAGGAAGAAGATGTT